GCCTTAACTAGTGATGTTCTTTCTTTTTATTTATTTTTACTAGAGCATCAGTCCCAGAATACTATTATCAGCTTTATCCCTATGACATATTATTGAAACAAGGACTCTACAATGTGTATGACATATGACCTTCGAAAGTCACAGAAAAAAAGCTCACACACTCATATTTAGTGGGGGGGGGGGGGAGTCCAGCCCACCCGATGCAGACATTGTTTATTTCCTTTGGTTTTATACACGAACATACAGCAACCCTATCTAAATAACCTGAGTATGCTGTTCATCTACAAATAGAAATGAGTAAACACCTCAAAGGTTTTGGAGTCCTCAGGCAGAACCATCAATCTTCTGAAGGTCCATTAGACATTAGGTGTGGTTGTTCTATCCCAATGCTATACTCTTTTCTAGATTGTCCCTAAAGAATGATGTTGACTTAAGAGTAAAACTGTCAGAAGGGTCATGATATTTAGGATGGACCATTTTCATCAGAACAGTGTTGTTGCTTGTCTCCTCCTTCTCTGGCACCTAACTTGGTTAAGGTACATCAGTCACACATGTGTCAAGACCTGTGTAGTGTGAAAAGGATGTGGTGCCTCTTTCAAAATTGTCAACATCTATCACAGCAGAAAATGATTAGAAAATAAAAATAATTTTTCCACCAGCTGTGATTTTTTGCATGTGTGTGTGTGTATTTGTATAAACAAGAGCCATTCTGATCTGCAGAGGTTCCTTAACTGTAAAATCACCACCCCTTGTAGAGGTTATTAGCAGGCTATTGTCTTTTTTTGTTGAAAGAAAGTTGATGAGTAATGACTACTATAACTTTCTTGACTGAGGCATTTACTCAACTCTTTGTAGTTTCATTGATTTCTTGTTTCATTAATTCTTTGGATCAAGGCTTGTGCAGATCACAACTTGGGCACCTTTTTGGTTTTGGTTTGGGTTTTTTTTGGTTGCTTTTTTTTTCTTTTGCTTTGTGTGTGTGAGGTTTTTTTTCTCTACTATTCTTTTTGCCAACTTAGCAGCTACTTGCTAACCATTTTTTTATCAAGATCTTTAAATTCATCTTACTCCTTGGTTCCTGCTTAAGGTCATGCTACCTAATTGCATTAACTGAAATTCTTTTAGTAAGTTCTGTTTCTTCAGGTTTTTTAACAAACATGATACCGATTCTTCAAGCAAATTATCTTCTTCAATGTAATTTTTTGTATTTTCTTCCCGTGAAGAGCAAAAATAACTCTTGATGGGCTTTAATCTCCAATTCTACCTACAGTATGAAGTCCAGGTGTAGCAAAGTACATTTATAAAGACACTCCACAGCTATTAAAATTTCATGTAACTTATCATGAAAATTAAGGCTTAAAGTCTGCAACAGCAGATGAAACAAGTTTCTACCAATAGATTTGAGTTTTTTCAGTGTCTTCTTTCCTGACGCACTTGCTAAGAAGCAGAATTAGTCTGTAGGGGTATGCAAACGTCACCTGATCTTCCTTGCTTTTCTTCTCAGTTCAGTCGTAACCCTACCCTTGAATCTTGCCTGGGATAAAGAAAATTTGAACAATTCTATGATGAACAATTCTATCTATACCATTCTTGATATCTGATAAAGTTTGAGTCTGAGTTTTTGGCTGAGGAGTGGCAAACATGGCAGCAAAACATAAAGAATGGGTTAAGTTGACACCTAAACGTCATTATATTTGAGATTTGTGGTTTGAAACCTGTTGTGAACCCACTGCTAACTGGGAACAGCTGGACAGATTGATTAGTAGCTTATTTTCTTGCAATGCTCCAGTGCTTTTGGTGTTGAGACAGAGGCAAACAAAATTCTCCATTTATTTGTTACTTAGCTCTAATAGCCTTTTAAACTTGATAATTGGCAAGTATCTTATTTTAGAGGAAAAATCCAGCAGTCTTTCCTAGATGAAACACTATTATTATCTCGAACATTCTAAATGCAGTAAGGAACAAAGTATAGGTATGGTTCATAGAGTAAGCTGAATCGGAGAGCAAGTATATTAAAAATACCCCTTGAATAATGATGCTTGCAGTCAGGAGTCAAACACTGACTACCAGATGGTGTCAGGAAACAATGGGCACTAAACTTTCAGCTTTACAGTTTAGCTCTCTAACCTGGGAGAGTATTTCAAACAAATGTACGCTGCATTTAACCCCTTCTTATCATGCCATATAGGGCCATCCTGAATATTTAAAATAACTTTTGTCAGGTGAGAAGCAAAAAAACCAGGGTCACTCTTGCAATTTCTGCTTGTTGTCTGGTTATTGACCAGTGGTTTCTGCCTTTGGGGATGGAGTATGAACAAGGCAGAGTAGGTAGGCATTTTGTATTTGCACTGCCCCAAATAATTATGAGGAATAAAATCGCTGAAATGGATAATGCTGTGACCATTTGCAAACTCTTGTGGGAGTGTTTTCCATAGCATGACTTAGTCTATTTAGTCTACCCTAACTAGTCCACATCAGTTAGGGTAACTTTTACTTTTCCAATATGTCTGCTTCCAATATGGAAAAGTGTTCCAGAAAAGTACGGTTTGTCTGATGGCTTTATCTCCATCCTATGCCACACTTGCCAGGACAGCTGACCGGTTTACAATAGATTTAAATAAATCCTGCCTACAGAGCCATCATAGCTGCTGGAGACACTGTTTGTGGTTATGATGTTGGTCTCCTCCCAGCCCTTACACCTGCTGAAGCCCTGCTTTGCAGGAAGTGGTAGGACATCCATCTGCCAATGGGAAGCAGTGAATGAATTCCTCTTTTTGCTTTGCTATCCACAGGGCTTTTGCTTTCCCTAATAAAAAGCCATTATCTCAATCCATGAGTCTCCTCACCCTCTGTTCTCTCCCCATCTTGTTGGAGAAGGGAGTGACAGAGTGTCTGGGTATCTGGGATTTTTGCTGTTGGCCAGGAACCATCTATGTAGTGGTGGTGGGTTTTTTCCTACATGTGGTTATTGACACATCAAGATCTCAGAAGTCATATTACTTCATGCAATGATATATAATGGAGCAGACAGCAAGTACTGAAACCTGTGGAAAACTACTTTCAGCTATTTTGTCCAGGGAGTAATCGGTAGGCTTATTTAGCATTGCAAAACTGTTAACATCAAAAATAGTTTATACATGGTGGTCCACTTTTTAATCCAGTAATTTCAGAGGAGAGAATCTAAATTTCAAATATACAGCAAGAACAGATCGTTCAAGCTGTGAATATTTTATTTCAATGAAAATATTTCTTCTCCCTTTGATTGTTGAAATGTACTGGGGCTGTGGGGGAGAAAGAAAAGGATTTTTCAGATTTTCCCTTCCTGTAAATATCTTACAGATTAAATATTTTGGTGATTTTTTCTTTATTTAATCATAATTACAGTAGACCTGCCAGGTACATATGTGCCAAATTTCCCTACAGAGATTTATTGCCTGTAACCCACCCTCACTCAGCTCACATTAGCCATCATTTTGTCACTGCCCCACAAACCCATACACCGTTTTGTGAGGACCAGACCACTCACAAAGTATGCCAATTGCATAAAGCCATCAGATCTACAGAAAATCCTTCTGAGTCCTAAGAAACACAGCTTTTCAGATGATTTCCCTATTCGCAAGTATTTCAGTTCTAACTGGCCATTCTAACATTTGCAGAGAAGTGAGTGGTGATAAGGGTGACCATCTGGTTCCTCAGTATGCATGACACTAAAAGCTAAAGCACAGGAGTGCTTGTGGAAAGAGAGTGAGAAAGTCAGAGGTAACTGAATATACATGAATTTTCAAACACTAACAAGATTTCAGACATTCTCTTTTCCTCTGTGTGAGCTTGTGATGCTAGCAAAGCAAGAGCCAGTGAATGTCCTGACCTCTGGGAACTGCAGCTTAACTGAGATTGATGGAAATTCAGCTGCTTCTTCTTAGAAACTTACGCAAAAAAATTTATTTTCCTTACTGTTCAGAAATACATGTTCAAATTTCCTCTAACATGTGAATTCTAACTTAAATATGTTTGTTATAATCTTTATTTCTTTCTAAATCGTGTATCTTTTCTTTGCATATGTGCTTTGTTGCATAGGAGTATGTATATACAACTAGTGACTTGTGAAGAAATATAGAAGTAAAGCAATAAAAGTTTTAAAATCTTCAGTTAACAAGATAATTGCATTCCAAACAAATTTTATCTTGAAAATGTTATTTGAAAGATTATAAAATTTTTTTTGAAACTGTTTTCACCCTGCTGAACTTTCCTAGAATTTAAGCATTTTATGGGAAAAAAATGACATTTTCAAAATCTTTTAGACAAAAAGCCTCAGAGCTTTTTATCAGTTGTACCTGATGAGTTCACTAGACAGTATGAAATAGTGTTTCCTAATTTCTCTTTTAAAAAGCTTGCATACGAAAAATGTTAGAGAAGTCCACCTGGACACTTATCTGGATTCTACTGCCAGTTGTTTGTAACTTAACCCTGTAGACGATGATTTTTTTTGCAAAGAGTATTGTTGCAAAATACTACCAAATTCAGTGAGCCAAGGACAATATCTACTGCATCCTGTATGTTAGAGCTGTAGTGGCCTTGCTGTGTGTCTCAGTCTGAGGAGATTAGAATGTTTGCTAAAGAGGATGAGTTATGAGATAGACCAAACTCCTCTCTCTCAGTAATTGTAAATTCAAAATTAAGGGGCTTTAATCGAGGAAGCGTGGAAAAAAATCAGAAGAAATATCCACCTTTTATTAAAAGATATATGTATGTTAGCAAAAACAGTAACAGAACACAAAAAAACCCCTACACAGTGGTCCTAGGAGAAAAAAAAAGGTCATGATGAATACTTCTCTGTCCTTTAGAGCAGCCCTAATCGTGGCCTGCAGTTCTCTGTCGTGGCCGGCAGGGAGCGCTGTTGGGCTCCAGTGGTCACCACGTGGGGAGAGGGGTGTGGGGAGAGGGGTCCGGTGGGCGGGGGGGGGGGGGGGGGGGGGGGCGATCCTGGACCACGGGAGAAGCCGAGAAGGAAATGGGGGACCCTTCCTTCAGTGGGAGGAAGGGGTAAGGAAAAACAGTTCACCCCCCCAATAGGACTCGCTGTGGTTCTCAGTTGATGGCGCCCCAAAAAGCTCCTCCTTTTCTCCCAGCGAGCACAGAGACTCTCCAATGAAAGCACAGCAGGTCCGGGCTGAAGACAAAAAAACAGCTCGCAGGCAAGTTGAAGCCAGCAGTCCGGGCTGAACAAGACGGGAAGCCAGACAAACAGGCTTCCAGGCCTTCTCTCCAAATGCCTGCATGCAGACCCCCTGTCTCCATCTGAGAGAGTGAACTCCGCGGGCTGCCTCTCTCCCCTCAGAACAGAGCCAGCCTCTCCTCTCTCCCCCCGCCTCTCTGATGGTCCATCAGCGAGGAATGCAGTCTGGTGAGCTAATTCCTTTGTAGGGCTAATTACCTCCCTTCTCCCTTCCCTATTTGAAACTCTGTTTCTCTTACAGGGAAGCAGGGAAAGAAAAAATTTCTCTCTCAGATTTATAACCTATAACACTGTCATTTCCAGCCAGTCACCATTCAGCCAATAAACGTATAAAAATGCAATTAAGAAACAGTTCTCTATATATTAATTTATACCTTCTCATGTTTCCTAACAAAATTGCTTATTCTTAAAAATCCACAAGATTTGTGTGCTGTGAATTTCATGACTGAATATTTTGGGTTTCTTCCTCCCTCCTTCCCCCCTTCTGTCTGGGTTGGTTGGTTGGTTGGTTGTTTTTTGTTTGTTGTTTTTGTGTGTTTGATTTTTGTTTTGATGTGTCTTTGCTTAGGGTTTTTGTTTGTTTAATTTTTATCCAAGTTTCATATTTTACAAATAAAAGATTGTAAAATGATGATACAGTAACAAGCAGTCCATTCATAGGAGCGTAAAGCTGTAAATGGACCAACAATTTTCTGATATCAAAATTTCCTAATTACAAAATGTACAAGTAAAATAAAGAGCACAATTTGAATGTTTGCCCTCATGGCACAAAGTGCTTAGGATGATGCTGTATTTGTAAACAGTACATTATGTAGATTGGAACAATACAAAGCAATTCAATTAGTGATAGTGTGACCTTTTACAACTTAAGCTCAAAAGTAGCAGAAGGAACTTCGCCTAAAAGGGTATTTAGCTATCTCTACTTTGTTACTGTTTTCTAGCATTATCTAGATACATGTGTCTTCCCTGTATTGCAGTTGAATTTGTACGTCTGAAGCCTTTTGACAGAGAGATTACCCTCTCTCAGCTCAGTGACATCATACATATGTCCTCAGTAATATAAGTTTAACCATCAAGATATTGATTTGGGAAACCACTAAGCTGGGCATCATTAAAATAGCATTTGCCACTTTCACAGTGACTGCAGTAATGCAGTATCTCCTCTGGTGCACCATGCACCAGAGAACAGCATTGCTGCCTTAGTATCCTTCCTCTGGTGAAAGTTGTTAAGGTGCCTGCTGCAGGTAGCAATGGTGTTGCATGCAATACTTCCCTTATCTTATTTCTTATCAACCTAGGCTAAGATGTGGGTTCTGCCAGAAACAAGGGGAAAGCAATTAAAAAAAACCTACTCACTTCACACAAGAAAAATATTTATAATTTAAAAATCAAAACTAACAAGTAACATATGACCAAGATCTCAGTTTTATCTCTCTTTTATATGATAAAGTGCTCTGATACATATGCTAAACTATCTCAGTAATGACTCAGAAAATTCCATCTGCACTTCCCACCCAGCAGCTGAGTTTTACTACAAGTCCCTTAAGAAGTAAAATTTTCCAGGTAGGTTTTTCTTAAAAAAAAGATACTGTTCTAACATTTGAATATCTTGTACTTACTTTGTTTTAAAATGTAGTGGTTGGCACATACAGTTTGTGGTTCTGAACAATATCCTCCAATATAACAAATACAGCCAAGAGTATAGCATCAGAAAATGGCTCATTGAGGGCAGGAGCCTGTTTTAATCATCATGGGAGAAAGGCAGCTTGCTGTGTAGCATTGGATAGCCTTCAGGTACAGCTACTGAGCAGCTCTCAATGCTGTGAGTGAAACAATGGGAAGAAATTAGATAGGGGATTACAGGAAAGTAAAGAGCAGGGGATGGGAAGCGGCCCCAGGAGAGTCTGTGGCTAGTGTCATGTTTAGTCACGTTATGTCAACCACCTGGATTTTTTGAAATTTAATCAAGTTCCAGAAAGCCTGAACAGTTAGGTGGTTAAGCAGTAGTTCTGCTGAACCTCCCCAGCACCACCTGGAAGTGCAGAGGAGGTTAATGAGCACCTTTGGTTCCAAAAGAGCAGGAATCAAGATGAGTAAGGGAGGAAATCATGAACTCATGGAGCAGACTCATTAGAGAGCCAGGAAAAGGAAAGCTCTCATCCTGGAAATTCCTGGCTGAACACAGAGTGGGGCAGCTTTTTACTGACTTCCCAGGACAAGAAGACCATATATATACATTGTCTTGAGGAATATTTCCATCCCATTCATCACACATATATGTTCAAAGCAAGAATAGCTAAACTTTTTTCCCAATAAAGGCATTAGCTTGTGAGGGACTGGGGACTCTGTATTTTCAAGGAGAATGAAGGATACCAGAGGCATTTCTCCATGGGTTCCTATGGACCTTGGTCCCTCCAGCACTGCCATTATGCTAGCTGGCTACTGACCCTCTTTGAGGCGTGGACCAACTAATTCCTCTCCAGAGGAAACCCAGAGTTGATGAATATAATCACAAAATGTTAAGGGATTGGAATGGACCTTAAAAATCATCTAGTCCCATAGACAGGGACACCTCCCACTAGATCAGGTTGCTCAAGTGAACCTAGGTTTGAACACTGCCAGGATTAGGGCATCGGCCTCACTGGGTAACCTGTTCCAGCATTTAACAACTCTCACAGTGAAAAATTTCTTTCTAATATCTAATCTAATTTCCCCCTCTTTCAACCTGTATCCATTACTCCTTGTCCTTTCACTACGTAAGAGTCCCTTTCTGGCTTCCCCATATACCCCCTTCAGATACTGAAGGGTTTTTATGAGGTCTCCACAAAACATTCTCTTCTCCAGGCTGAACAGCTCCAATTTTCTCAGTCTTTTTTGGTAGGGTGAGAACTTCTCTTCAGGATCTGTTCCACACAGCCAATGAGGATGGGAAGCTGTACAAGGGTTCATTGCTCAGCTTGCCAGTCTTTCAACACTATCTACCTACCCACCTACCTACCATGGGCTCCCCCACATCCCATGCATGAATGACACAGTGCTGCTTTCCTGAGACAGAAACACTATTCTTGCAGGTTGTCAAGACTCTTTCTTTTAAATGCATCTGTCTTATCTTAAACTGATACCCTAACAACAGCAAGCATGTTGCAGGGGCACAGAAGGACAAGCTTAGGCTGAAGAGATCAAAGGCATCCCAGGCAGCTCCCAGAAGATGGTACAGCCAGCTTGGCACAACAAAGTACGACTACTGTGCTAAGCTGCGACAACTAACTTGTATTCCAGAAGTTTAATTAAGCATTTTCCAAGACCAGAGATGCCACCGAAAGGTTTGGTACATCTTTACATAAATATGCAAGCAGTACTGAGTCTGTGGTGAGGAGGTCTTCACTGTCCCACCTTTCCAGAACTGTGTTCAATGTCCCTCCTGTCAGAGCCTTGGGCACTGTCTTGAGCCCAATAGATCAGGAAGCCCAGTTGCCATCCCCATGTCCTCAGCACTAAAGATGAGGAACTAGAGGAATGGCCACCTCACCACTGGATCCTTATCCCTCATGACTCTGATGAGATGGTGTTACAGAGAGTGATCAAATCTCTGGGTGCAAATTAATTGATGCTGGGTGAGCCAGGCTTGGGGGTTATTTGTTGCTAGGACAGCTACACATGCATAGATGACAATAGGCACTTGCCTCCCATCTGAGAGGCAGTTTTCCTGAATGGTCCTTGTGACTGAGCTTGTATAAACCATTTAGCACTCTCCTGCTATGGTCCAGTGACTGCAGCATGGACATGGAGCTTATCAGCAACCCCTCCCCAAAAACCCTGACTGTGCCAGAGTAGCATCATAAACATCTATCACCTGTGTGACCACAATGTATTTTTTCAATCTTTATATCCATTAAGTCTTATATCCATTAATGCTCCATTAAGTGTGATGCCTTTTCTGTGGGAGTGACTTTTAAACGTGTTGCTTCAATCAAACTCCCAGTTCCCAGCCAGGCACCTTAGAGGTGGCCTTCCATCCTACTAAATTTTGCATCCTAGGCTGGCAATCTCACATGGTTAGTCCCAACAGTAACAGACACTGGTGTACACAACCCCAAACCTTCCCTATACAGGGGAAAGACAACCAGAGGTTGCAATCAAAACTGAGGGTTTTTTAGCAAGTGTGGCTGTGTTAGGGATAGCTAAAAGCAGGTGAGGTTTGCAGATGTGGAAGCTAGAGCTACGCCCAATATGGTGGTACTCCTCATCCAGGCCTGTCCCATCTCAGTTGAGCCATCCCAGTCTGAGGCCATCCCAGTGAAAGGGTTCTGCCATCATGTTCCAAGAAGTTGTGGATGCAAGTGAGGCAGGAAATGGTCAAACATTAGCTTTGCTGGGGAGCAAGGATGAAGGTGTGCTGCCTCTTTTTGGTGTGCTCTGTTGTGGCTCTACACAGAGTGCAGCACGGATGAGGAGTGAAGCTCACGGGCACATTGGTGAATGAATATGAAGGGCTCTGCGACTGCGACCCTGACAAGGTTTGTTCTGAGTTTTGCTGCAGTCTCTCTGCTCCAGGGAGAGCGTTAACATGAGTCATTCCTCACCAGCTGATGGGAGGCTCCCTTCACGGATCATAAAGGCTGCATAGATGTAGCCTAAATGTCTCTGTAATCATCAGAACTCAACTGTCAGGTACTGCTATTGCTCCCAGCTTGTCATTTGACAGGGTATGTTCTTCTGCACCTGATTTTCCAATAAATTTGAACATATTTTTGCTGGTAGGTAGACAAGCAAATGATAGTGTTGTCCAGGGAGAAAGTCATGACTAAATCTTACTGGAATTCACAAAATTTACATCCTCCTACTCAGTTCACTTTGCAGCTCTTTGTCACACACATACTCTGAGCTTACTGAATACAAAGAATGTGTGGAAAGAAGGAAGGGAGAGTGATCACCACATCACCTTCTTTCACCTGCTGCTGAGCACCTCCTCAGAAGGGCCCAAGGACAGGAGGTGCTTACAACTGGAAAGCCTATGGATCCAGAGTGGACTACATATCAAAGGCAAGACCCTGTAGCTGGCTATGTCAACTGCTACCCCGACAAATATCCTCATCCCTGATGGCCTGTAAGAAAGAAAGCCTCTCTCATCAAGATCTTGGCTTGCTGCTTTGCAATATGGGAATGACAATTTTCCTTCACACTAGTTGTTTGAAAGAACAGCGTAGACTGCTAAGTCAATAAATCCTCAGTTTTTCCCTGAAAATCTTTAATCAAAAAAACTCCTTCCTGTCAACTCTGCCATCGACCAACATCAAATCAATACTGTCAAATAATCCCTCCAAATTCATGTTTCTCTGTTAAATATGGGTCTGATCATTTCCCATTTTATAACAAAAAATGCACACCAAGACTGGTGTAAATAACATCTGTTTGATTTAGATTGGTCTGAGGTGCCCTATCACTTTTGGGGGAGAGGCCATGTTTTGTAGCATCATTATAGGTAGGTAGAGGAGGAGAAGAACCAGGAGGCAGCCAGAAAAAAGGTCTGCACTAAATGTACTGGAAGTTGCATTCTGGTCTTCTGGGTTTGCTGGAGTAGAAGAGGGAGTGTCAGGAGCTTTTAGCAGTTTGAGTGGAAATGCACGAAAACTCTTTTTTTAACAAATGCTTCCTTATTTCATCTGTTAATTAATAAGTGATGTTACCTAGGTGTTAATTAAAGCAAAACAACCCCTACAATGACAGATCTGTGAAAAAGGATGTCTTCAAATCCCATCACTCCCACCTGTTCATACTGAGCTGGTTTTACCCTACATAATGTCACCATGTCATTCTCACCTCTTCACTCATTCTGACCTCCCTAAACTTCAGGATTTTCTAGCTTGCATTTCTAATGAAAAAGAAATGGAAATTCTGAAGAGAAGGAACAGTCTTTTGCTATCCATTAGAACAGAGCTTTGCTGGGTCATGGGGATCCTGATCCGGAAGCAGAACCTGTAACTATCATGCCATTGGCAATGACGTGAAGGGTAAGAAGAGTCACCCTTGTCTCTGGGCTAGAAATATTACAGCACAATCTCTTCATGGTGCTGTGTACCACCCTCATGTCTGCAGTGCTGAAGTGCTCTCAACAGTCAGTATCACAAGGCAATCAGCCTCTCCTCACTGTGGTCTCTATCCCATTGGTGCTGAAAAATAACCACTTAACAGATGACTAAATATTGTCTTTTATTCTTGCTTTACAGCCACAGGTCTAAGAAGCTACATCTCAGCTCCTACAGGGAGGACTTACATTCAAGGCCTTCATAAAAATTCCACTGCATTCTAAAGCAAAAGAAATGTTGTTATTTTCAGTCCTACTCTTTCTCACTGTGAAAAGTTGGATTTGTTGACATGCAAAAAGGAAAACATGAATGATATACACTTGTTGATTATTCCTTTGTTCACTTTTACTTTTGTTGGAAATAATCCTATTGTGCTACATTTTTAGTCTCAAAAATGTTTGTTTCCAAATCTGATATGAACTTCATCTTTGTCCAGACAATGACATTAATATTCCTCCTCTTCAGTCCAACATAATATGGTATACTTTCATTTCCAAACACTTAAATGACCTTTCACTTCTGTCTTGAAAATCTTTTTAAAGTGAAGCTATAGCTTTTTCTGGAACATTAGCTTTCCATCTAAACCCTAGTCTAAGATCAGCTGTGGCCTTTTCGTGAGGTTTCTCCTTTTCCGTGCAGTCTTTTTGGTCTCCAGCAGTGAAAAAAAAGCTGTTTGAATAAAACTGTAAGTTTCTTAGATTGGTCTCATATGCAGGCCTTCAATGGTTAAGTAAGGTAGTTCTTCAGTGTGCTGACTTCATCCCTTCAGGGTTTTTCCAACTGCTCTGGTGCTTGGTACACTCTGTCTTTCCTTTTTCTGATGCGATGGAGCCTATGTTATTGAAAAAGTCCATTGATGATTTACTAATTAGCCATTATTACCAGAACTGGTCTGACCTTATCTACTTTCAGTACTGCTCTTACTGGCTCTGTTCCTCCAGAGCATTCTCACCTATTCCCATGCAGAATGCACACAGAATGTAATTTCCAATACTCTTTACAGTAATTGTTATTTTCTTCACAACGTAGTTTGAGGGATCAGTATCTAAAAGCAGTAGAGATATTATTAAAATTTGCCCGGTGTTTGCAGTCTAGGCTATAGACTATATGAAATATTTTACAGGCACAGGAATGTCCTGAATATCAATGTGCTTTTTCCTCGTGTTGAGCATAGGGTGAATGTCAAGAGTCTCCAGCACAAACTAAACAGTGTTAGGGGGCTAAGTAAGGTTTCTTCCATCATGTACCTCTTTCTCTGATAAGGATGATGGAGGTTGGTGGGAAGCTGTTCTACCTTCTACTTCATGAGCAGTCATGCTGACAGTGTCATGACACAAATAATGGAAATAACATTAATTTAAACCAAGTACTAGCCAACACAGGAAACCTCTCTGTTGTGGTGGGTAGCTGTACACTGCAGACTCCCACAAACCTGTTTATATGCTCACTAGCCTCTGGTGCTGTGTAGGAAGCCTGCCCAAGGGAGTTGGTTCACTAGAAACCAGCAAGGTTACACCAGATTACAGTCGCGTTTATCTGAAAGGCTAGGGCTGCTGTCAGAAGCCAAGAAGTTCAGACTGATGCCTCAGAGTTGTGGTTTTTTTTTTTTTTTTGTTTGTTTGTTTTTTTTTTTAGTTTTTATACATTTTAGAAGTAGATATGTAGTGGATGTAGATTTTAATGTATCGGTGTTTCCAGTAGAAGTAACTACAGCAGCACATAACTCGGGTATCATTTCCACACTGAGGTTTCTACCAGCGTGATTAACATGCATTCTTTTACTGTCTCACTGTATTATGTCTCTTACCAGTATTTTCCAGTAAAAGTAGCAGCAGTAACTTAACGGTTGCACATACCAAACCCCGTCCCATATCAATCCCTCAAAATTCCATTAGCTGTTTAGTCTTCTTTTCAAGGCGGAATTGCAGAAAACACCTTAACATCTGCACCAGGAGATGTAAACATGGGCAAAAGTGACCTTCTAGTCCGGAACTTTGGAGGGCCTCTAAGGACTCAATGTGCTCCAAGGAGGATGAAGATGATGAAAGAGGGGTCCCAAACTCCCCCAGACTCAATTCCTGAGGGGGTGTGCCTGGGGCCGGAATGGGACTGGGGACTGGGGACTGGTCAAAGGGGGTTGGATGGACATCATTATAAAATCGTAGAACCTGTGTCTGAACGTGCATGCAGTGGTTTGTATTCCTGTGGACCAAGCACTCATTAAAGCTTCTGCTCTTCTTATCATATCTCTATAATAAATTGGCCTGGAGTCTTTTTCCTCCTCAGTCTTTTAGGCAACAGATCAAGAAGAAAATGTGTGCTATCAGAAAAGTTGTGTGAAGAGCACATGAGAGACTCCCGGTATTTGGAGGTTTCAGACAGGCAAAAGAGCAAAGTGTTCCTTCGAGAGGCTCTGTTGAGTTGTTCATTCCATAAATCCTGTCTTATTTCTTCACATCCCCGAGCCTGCTGCCTTAGTGGACCAGCAGCACCCTGGGTTCAGGGCCAAAGCAGGAGGAATTGCATGTTTTTAAATAGTTACTTAAACCCTGCAGTTTAGGAATGTCACATCACATACGCGTAGCAGCATGACAACCTTAACATTTTGCTACCCAGACGAAAGGGAGGAGGAATTCCCTGCGTGGAATATGACTACATCATTGTCCTAGTTAGAACAGCTGGGACCGATTCATCATTGGATGGGTGTAGCCCAAAATGGTGTATTCTATAGCCCTCCATGCCATTTCCCAGAAACTGTTGTCAGTAGGGGCCGGCGGGGGGCCCCCCCCCCCCCCCCCCCATGCTCCTGTCCTCATGCCCTTTTGTGGAATTCCCTGACTGAGCACCCTCACACCCTTTTATGGAATTCCCCACTCTGAGAGAAGGATTGAGCATCCTTTTATGGAATTCCCCGCTCTGAGGGAGGGACTAAGCATTGCTGCCTGAGCTGGAGAATATATAAACCTGGAGTTTCAGAACCTTTCCACCTCTCGTGGGATCCAGAGGAGGACTGCAGCTCACCGCTCTCAGCCAGACTGAGACCACCACCCTCAACTGAACTGCAATCACCACTTTGGTCGGACTGCAGCAGCTCTCCCACCAGCAGGTTTCTTTTTCCCCTCTCCCTTTGCTTTGGACTCACGGGGGCCCCAGGGAGCACCACTTTGTTTGTGCCCTGGGGTGCCAGGTTGTACATAGGGCCGGTTGCTTGTCCGTGTAGTCGTACTTATTGTATTATTTTAATAAATTGTTATTCTGATTTGTAATCTCTCTTTTGAGTTGGGTTGGTTTCCCCTGCTGGTTAACTTTTAAACCAGTACAATCATATGTGAATATGAGTACATCACTCTAATTGCAACATGTTTTATCACAGATATTTGGGAAAGAATTTCTGTAAAACATATTTTTGCACTGGGAATGAACAATTTTCAAAATGGGAAGCATTTCTTACAGAAGGCTCACTGGCTTTTGCCAGACAGATGCACTTTATACTGGTTTTTTTATTATTTTTAGCATATTTTTAAGCATAATGCATATTACTTTTAACAGAACACTATAGATAAATCTGTTGTGGCATATTGTCTCCAGTATTTGTAATACAGACCATGGAAACAGCTTGTACATGGACAATACTGTAGCAAAGAGGCAAAACTGTCTTCTTGTGAGGCATTGTTAAATATTGACAGTATAAAAGAACCCAGTTTTGAGCAGGTTGGACCATATTGGTTTTTGTAACAACACCTGTAATTTTCCCTATAGATTTTGTCCTAAGAGAAGATGGTGCAGTCATTATCCATCCCTTTATAAAGCTATAGCAATTTGACACTCAGTCCCTCAGGTGAAGGAGAAGGCGATCTGTGGTCTTTACTTAGGTATATCCATTTTTTGGGAAAGTACAGCTGACAATGATAGAAGGCTTCCCAATAGAGTACATAAATCAGGGACAGGAAAAACGCTCCAAAGCGCTCCCAACATTGAAAGCAATCCTCCTCAAACAACGAATACACTCTTGTGGTTGTGACCAATATCCTGTTTCCAAGCAGATGCTCTTTAAAAGGGATGGAACAACTAGAAGATTGCAAGAGGTTAGCTTAAAAAAAAAAAAAAGCGAAATTCAGAACTAGCTACAGTATTAGCATGGTCATAATGCAGGCCATCACCTGCATCAGTTGCATCCAGCAATGACAGATTAGGAGGCTCCATCCAAGATCCTAAAAATCCTCAAAAAAGACAACCAACTCTTCAAAGACATAAACCAATAATCACTCTTTTGAGTGTGAGTACTCACCGAGAAAGAGAACAAAAGACAAATCAAATCATAACGCAGGAAAAAAGACTGACTTAAGCAAAGAGCAACTATAAAAATTGAATCTAGATTCATGACCAGAACGGTCAAAGAAAAATGACTCAAGTAGCCATATAACTCCACAAAGACTTGGGCAAGTTTAGTGAACAATCTTCCATTAAGACAGAGCAAAGACAGGATAGGCAAAGAGGCTTCTGCCAGAAAACATAATGGCATTGTAGTATATGTAAACAGGGAAAGCATGCCCCAATACAGTGGATACAAACTGCGGAGAGAACGCTCTGAATGCTATGAGGAGAAGTGTACAAAAAAGGAAAACAAAGGAAGACAACCACAGAAACAAGCAGGGGTCCAAGGAGTGAAGACTTGCACATACGAGAGCTCAGTGCAGCACAAAAGAAACTACAAACCACAAAACACAAAAATGAGCGGAAGATGTCTGTAGAACTTGGTGTGCTAGCAGATCCAAGAAAAGGGTCAAAACTAAGGGTAAACTAGAACCACAGAATAATTAGGGTTGGAAAGGTCCTCTGGAGACCATCTAGTCCAGCCCCCCTGCCAAGGCAGGGTCACCTAGAGCAGGTTACCCAGGAACATGTCCAGGTGGGTTCTGAATGTCTCCAGAGACAGAGACTCCACAACCTCCCTGGGTAGCCTGTTCCAGTGCTCTGCCACCCTCAATGTAAAGAAGTTCTTCCTCATATTGAATGGAACTTCTTATGCTTTAGTTTGTGGCCATTGCTCCTTGTCCTGTTGCTGGGCACCACTGAAAAGGGTCTGGCACCATCCTCTTGGCACCTGCCCTTGAGATATTTATATGCAGTAATGAGATCCCCTCTCAGTTTTCTCTTCTCTAGACTAAAAAGGTCCAGCTCCCACAGTTTCTTCTCAAAAGCAGAGTACACAGAAAGAGAAAGACTGGGATCTCAGGTAGAGGAAAAAGAGAAAAAAAATCTCTGTTTTTATTATAATATATTACCCTAGCAAACTCAAATCCAAAAGAAATATTCTTCTCGTAGACAAGTGGCAAACTGAAGGTATAGCAGAAGGAACTAAATCTGTTCCATCAAGGCAGTCAGAAGGTTAGTAAATGACTGTTGTGTTTTGGGGGATTTTTATGGACAAGAATGCCTTTCAGACCTCTCACATGTGATCATAGATAAAACAGCTTGGTTATTATAGGAGCTGACTCCTAGAAAATCAATTCCATTACACAAATAAAACAACTAGCAATGGGAGCCACAAAGAGAGTGGAAAAGCAGATTGTATTGTCACAGAAGCCAACCGTTGGATGAGTAGCATGATACTTCCTTAGAAATCAGGCAAGCTATTTGCCAGAGACCCTTAATGCTTCAAACAAAGCACTAAAAAGAGCTCAACATCAAAGGTCCTCAAAAGGACACATATAAACTGAGTTGAAAACAGCAAAACATGTTGGCAGCCAGTGCCAACAATGGATATTAATAAATGACATTGAAGCTACTTCACCATATTTGGGATGTCAGTAGATTGATAGAAATGGAAAAGAATGACTTTTGAGATAAAAACTAAGGACAACTTCCAGTGTTACCAGAAAAATGTATAAGCAAGATTTCTAGGAAGTTGAATCATAGCAGATGATGTTCTGGCAGTACAGATGCAATAGCTAGGGGAACGTTGATGAAAA